CAGTCACTGTGGTCAGGATTTGACCTCAGCAACACGTGCGCTAGTGCTGCGGGCTGACTGACATATGATGTATCAAGGGCGGATCCAGAACACAACTTTTTGGGGGGGCCCAAAAAAATTTGGTCAAAATAATTAGGGCGTGGGGTTCGGGGCCCGCTTAAGGGTCCCGAAAAATTGTTGGATTCTAGATGCTCTGTGGTGCGATCTGAGGCAATTTCTGACCACTTTAACCAATGTTTTTTAGAGGAAAAGATGGTGGTGTACTCTTTGCCTGCCTTTATTGCGATGTCACATAAAAAAAAAAAATGGGTTTCGTTTTGGGGGGCCATGGCCCCCTTTGGCCCCCCCCCCCCTGGATCCGCCCTTGCGATGTATGTGCGTATGTACAACGTACGTGCATGTACATGTACATTGTGGACGTCCTGTGCATGTTTTAATGCAGAGGTATTGTCAACCTGAAGTTTTAAGCGTGCGCAGGGCATGTCCGATTTCGCTTATTGCCTCGAAGCTTTGAAATGTTTTAGACCTACCCTTAAATCGACAATTAAAGTAAAAACAAATATAAAAACTGCCATGGGTGATTTTTCAGGAAATTTCAAAGGAAAAAGGGTCTTTTCATTATAACTTCCGGTCTGATGACGTCATACGCCTAAAACTTCTCACACGCCTTAAGGGGGTCAAAGTCATCATATACACCAATATTTAGGCGATTCCGACAAACTTCGCCACAGACATCTATTCAAAACACATTTTTGCAAATTTTCAACCTGTCGCTAGAGGGCGCTCGAAGATTGCAATGTCACCGTTAAAAGCAAGTTCATATCTATTACCACTTTTAAAAAATAAGCCACTTCCAATTTTGGCCTTTTTCGACCGGAAGCAAGGGTCACGTGATTTCACGCACACTGAATGAAATAAAGACCTAAACCTACTCTACCGCTTGCCGGCAACAGAATGCTGCGGACGCGTACGGTTGATTTATTATGCATTTTTAAATATTAAAAGTGTCACAATTTAATTGCCTATAAATAAACACCTGATGACGTCATCATGATGTCATCATTACACAATGTTGTTTGAATTAGGGTCTTTGCTTGGACAAAGAGTGATCTAAATGAATTACTGGCAAAGAGTCAAAAATGCCCTTTGAAAATCGACAATTTTTTTAAAACTTTTGTGTACAAAGTCTAGGGGAAAAATTAAATATTCAAATATCTATAATAAATTAGTCGATGACGTCACCATGACGTCACTCCGGGACACAACTTTGCTATAGGGGCTATGCCTATGCTGACTTTGAATGATGTACGACAACGATTAATGCCGAAAGTGGCGTTGAGAAAAAACGTGTACAAAGTCTATGGGATTTGCCAGGGGAAAAAAAAAGGAGAAGAAGAAGAAGAAAGAACTAGAAGTCTATGTCTGTTTGCAACAGAACATAGGGCTTTTCCGCATTATGAATTTTTTTTATCAATAATATGCCCTACATATGCATGAACAAAAAATATGTCAAAGTTAGCCAAAAAATCAGCTAAAACGGTCACTGTGGACAGGATTTGACCTCGGCAACATGTGCGCTGCAGGCTGACTGACATACATGTACAATGTATGTGCATGTGTACAACGTACGTGCATGTACATTACATTGTGGACGTCCTGTGCATGTTTTAAAGCAGAGGTATTGTCAACCTGAAGTTTTAAGCGTGCGCAGTGCAAGCGTGCGCAGTGCATGTCCGAGTTCGCTTATTGCCTCGAAGCTTTGAAATGTTTTAGACCTACCCTTAAATCGACAATTAAAGTAAAAACTAATATAAAAGCATGCATGGTTGATTTTCAGGAATTTTCAAAGAAAAAATAGTCTTTTCATTATAACTTCCGGTCTGATGACGTCATATGCCTAAAACTTCGCACATGTCTTAAGTGGGTCAAGGTCATCATATATGCCAATTTTTAGGCGATTCCAACAAACTTCGCCACAGACATCTATTCAAAATACATTTTTTTTTAAATTTTCAACCTGTCGCTAGAGGGCGCTCGAAGATTGCATGACGTCATCGGTAGATGATTTGAAGAATACTATCACCCAAGAGACGAACATCGTTCAAAGCAAGTTCATATCTATTACCACTTTTAAATAATAAACCACTTCCGGTTTTGGCCTTTTTCGACCGGAAGCAGTGCGTGTAGTAATTATACAGAGGATAGTTAAAAAGAGTCAGGTGAGGATCTGCACGCGCAAATGCTGCTGTACTGTAAACTTACCAAGTACAATCGTTACAGAAACCCATTAAACAGCTCATATCTCTAAAAGTAAAGGTCGCGCACCATTGGCGCAATACAAAATATTGCTCGTCATATCCCCTTTACCCTAATGCTCATGTTTTTAGAAAAAAAACAAGCGCCCAATTTTAAAAAAAACAACGCCCAATTGGGCGATTTTGCCAGCCCAATTTTTGAGTATCATATGACGTCATCAGAAGTCAAAATGTGCTTGCGTTAAGAAGTTGTCATATGAACGTGTACAAAACACTGGTAAACACTTAAAATACATTGGTTCATCAAACAGCCGTTACATGTAGCTCAATACTTAACATACAACAGTCGTAAAACCAGACACTCAAGAAGCGAGCACGGGGAATTCCCTTTTGTACGCAATCATAGCACACTGTTTTTCGGGAATTTCCTTTTGTACGCAATCATCCCCATTTGCTCTACACGAAATGTATGTGGCATTAAATGAACTTTTCAAGGTGTAGGTTTCAAGGTGAACGGTTGATTTTATATTGAATTTCAAAGATTGAATTTATTATTTTTGCAAGTGACATCACGTGACCCGTGATGATGTCATAATGATGTAATTGCAAAGAAGCATAACTTCAGTGGGTTGTGCATTCATGTATTGACAATTAAGTTCACATTTGTTTTCATTTTGACAAAAACTTCTTGAGAAGAATTTGTCTTGGAGAATAATAATAAGAACTAGAGTTTGTGGGAACAAACACACGGTGTTGGGCCACTGTTGATGTTGACGTTGATTGTTGATGTTGATGTTAATGGTTGATGTTGATGATGAGGGATGAGGGTTGAAAAATAGCGCGTGTAGTACGATGAACTCTCAAACTATTTAACAGTCAAACATGAAACAACATAAGAACGATCCAACGATTTTAACTACAGCGATAAGCGAAATACTTGCAAATATTTAAGCGACGAAGAAGCAACCAGTGCAAAACCAAAATAGCACTTCTTACACAACTAATCAACAGAGATGCCACAGGGTCTGCTTGAAAAAAAAACGGAACTGGGTCTGCTTGAAAAAAAACCGAAACGGCTGCTTGAAAAAACACTCCGTGTCCGACACAAAGTCCCTGTGTCATCTTTATCTTGTAGCCAAGCCAAGTTCTGTTTATTTTTTAATTTTGCTTCTATGGCCTTAAAAGCTGTCGGTTCATTAAATCACTTTGACTTTTTCCATATTCCTAATTTTTATTCTGCCTACCCAAATTTCCAAAACACGCACGATTCCACAACACTGCTGTCGGTGTACATGATCCTTGCACTACGCGATGCGCTTAACGAAAACATGGTTGGTACCCGCATTTTTTGTATTCACATAAATCACTGCGATCGGAAACCACAGATAGCTGAAATGATAGACTTGATTTCCAGGCTGAATGCTACGTGTGCTTAGCACACAACACGCCCGCACGCGGTGAAGCACGCGCGAGGCGCCGTTGTATACTGCGTGCAAGTACGTTGGCCGCTTGTATCGCATGCAGGCTCGGCAACAACATACACAAAGACTGTTTTTAAGACTACTTCAACGAACAACGTTGTGCCATGCGTGCGCCTAAATGTACTAAATCAAGGTAAAAATCAACGCATTTCCACAGTTTTTCTTCTCTTTTTCTGGTTAATTTGACGGCCGGAAAAACCGGAATTTTGTGAGATTTTTTTTTAAACCGGAATTCCGGTTAAAACTGGAAAAGTGGCATCTCTGAATCAAAGTGATCTTACTCAGCTGATTGTAGAGACAATTACCAGTTCAGTTTGTGGCCTCAAAATACTACAGTTCTCCCAAAATGATGTGATTTCAATCAATAATTCTCTACAAAATAACAGCTGTCATGTCGCTTTTGACTTACGTGTTTGTGACTTTGTTACTGAAAGAGCGCCCTACATCACTTGCAAGGAATGTAAACAAACGTTCATTCATAAATTTTTCTGTCCGGAACAAACCTTTCAAGGCGTTGTCGCCGTCAACTTCACATTTCAAGGGGGAAGTTTTAGATCTAATTCTAAACTGCCATTTAACCGACAAATCAAGATTAAATCCCTTAGGGTTGATTTTCCAAGAATTGTCAAAGGAAAAGAGGTCTTTTCCTGCTAACTTCCGTTCTGATGACGTAATCAATTTTTTTTCGCGCACATGTCTTGTCTGCATTTAGGTCATCATGTATATTCATTTTGAGGCGATTACCGTAAATTTCGCCACAGACATCCACTGAAAATGCGTTTTGGACATGTTTTAACCTGCCGCTAGAGGGTGCTCGAACTGTTCAAGGCGTCACTGATCATTTTTTTTTTAAAGATCAACCCATACAGACACTAACATCATTGAAAGCAAGTTCATATCTTATTCCACTTTCAAATCATTAGGCACTTCCAGTTTCGACCGGAAGGAAGGGTCACGTGATTTCACACACACACGACAAATTTAAGATCATGTATTATCATACCAATTCCCGCAAAATTCACGTTCGGGTCTCTCACGTTTGATTTTATATTGAAATTCAAAGAATGATGTGATGGACAAATTTGAATATTAGAAATGGTAAATTTGAATGATAAACGTTTAAAAATAGCTGGAAAAACCCATATTAATCTACTAAGGGATGACAGACTCAATTAACTTCAACTAACCTAGTGTTCATTTTACAGCACCTCGTGATATAAACCTTGAATCCCATTACTGAAAATCTATCAAGTAAAAAACGTACCTGTGGTTGACTTCACCGTTGTGGTCTGTGTTGTAGTTGACTCAGGTGTTGTGCTCACAACAGTTGTGGTGATTTCCTCAGTGGTGGATGGAGGAGCTGTGGTGGATGGAGCCTCAGTGGTGGATACACGGACTGTGGTTGTCTCAGTTGTTGTGGGTGCCGCTGCAAGAAAAACATTTCAAAAGTAAAGACACAGTAAACTCTGGCTATTAAACCGACATCGTATAAACCGTCACATTGCTTAAATCGGAAGTCCCGATTGTCTCTAATGCATTTCCATTGATATTTTCATTTCTAGGTCGGCCTTTGTAAGCCGCCATTTTGCCTATGTCCCATTTCCTAAAAACCACAAAAATTCCTCTGTATAAGTCGGAATCGTGCTCTGCGGTTTGTAAGAAGTGTCGAGTGAAAAGTCCCACACACTGCTAACTGACATCTGTTTATCAATGGCACGGCCCGTGATTGATGCATCGGCCAGTTTTGAATACTTGAAATACATTTTAAATAGTTTCAGATACGCTCATTACTTTTGAAAGACTCTGTGTAAAGGCAAGTTCTTTCATGATAACATAGACAATGTCCAGAAGCAACCCATTTTTTTACTACTCAAAGAAACAATAGTGAGATTGCCAGCAGAATGCTGTGGTAGAAAACTCCTAGGTGGTTTTTGGCGGGGCTGTGGTAGGAGCCCTTGTAGTCAACACATGGGTAGTTGTTCTTTCAGTGTTTGATGGGGCTTCTGACAATGGCAAACACAAACAGAGCTTAACAAATGCTTTCAAGACATACATGTATAATACATATTAATGTTTAAAGAGATGCTTTTGAAGACAAAATCAAGTGATTTGAACTATTGAGAATGACATATGAAGGGGCAGGCACCATTCAATTCATTTGATAATTCATTTGTTAATGCAAATGCAGAAACCTGTGGTTGTTGTCTCAACTGTTGTCAGTACAGTAGTTGTCTCCTTAGTTGTTGTTGACTCAGGGGTGGTTGCTACAACAACTGTAGTACTTTCTTTGGATGTTGTTGTTGGTGCAGTTGTTGTGGACGGAAATTTTGTAGTTTCACGAATTGTCACCGTAGTAGAAATAGCCTCAGTTGTTGATGGAGCCTCTGCAAAAATGAGTCATCAGAACAAAAACATTGCATTTTGTTCTCAACACTGTGCAATCTCTACGTTTTAAATAAAAACGTTTTTACATGTGGCCAGATGTGTTACTTATTTCAAGTGAGTACACAACACCTATATCGTGCAATATTCTACAATTGGGACATTCAGTGGCAATCCATTTACCATTGATTCAAGATGACAATATTTGTTGTTTTAAGTTGAAAAAAGAAACAACAGATTTCTACAACTTTCTGCCTAGAAGTACATAAAGTGCCCTACCAAAAGAGAAATTAAGGGGGTTCAACCCCAACTTCAATGGCCAGAAAATGGGAAAAATGAAAGGAAACACAAAAAGATGTGTTAAAAAAACACTAATGCCCCGCAACTGTATCTGTTCCCTTGACATGACACACCCTTTTAACATCATCTTACCTGGGTCACATATTCATTTACATTCTTTCTTTTGTATTTAATAATTGAACCCTTGACATTTGACCTATGGGGTCTGAAAGTGACTGGAAATCCTAAGAACAAACCACATAGCTGTGCACACATGTACTATTTGCATCGCTGCTAACGTAGAGGGCGAATGATTTTATATCAGTCGCAATTCTGGCGGGACCGCTGCTGGTTGTTCTATAGATCTGTCTCCAGATCACGTAGGAATCATGTGGAATTAAGAACACGGGGGTTTTTGTTTTCCTTTTCCAATGCCATCTCATACCAATGATTTCGTGGATTTGAACAAAATCAGAACAAAAACAAAGGCTTTTTCGCAAATTTGCGAAAAAGGCCCCCCCCCCAAAAAAATCTTAACGAAAACAAAGACTGTTTCGACTTGTTGCCGTACAGCCAACTAGAGATTGTGGTTGTAGCTAAACAACCACAGCTATAGCAGTTCCCAAAATGTTTTGATTGTCTATCAGACAACCAACTGGGCTGAAAAACTTGAAGAGCGGTAAAAGGGCTCTGAGTGGTCTTTATTACAAACTAAATGACAAGGAAACCCGAAGAGTGGTAAAGGGCTCTAGGTTGTCTTAAAACAAACCAGTCAATCAGGAAAAACATGAAGAGCAGAAAAAGTTCTCAAGGTTGTCTAGAAATAAGCCAATCGGCAAGGAAAAACCTGATAAGATTAGGGCTCCAGGTTGTCTAAAAACAAAACGTTTAAACAATCAGGGAAACCTGAGGAGCGGTAAAATGGCTCTAGGTTGTCTAAAAGTGAGCCAAATGACAAGGGAAAACCTGAAACAAAACAAGCGACCGGGGAAACCTGAAGAGCGGTAAAAATGGCTTTAGGTTGTCTATAAAGGCAAGCCAAACAGCAAGAGAAAACCTGAAGAGCGGTAATATGGCTACAGGTTGTCTAAAAGCAAACCAAGCGACTAGGAAACCTGAAGAGCAGTAATTTTGGATGCGCACGGTTTTCGACTGCGGATGCCAGTGGTGTCTTGTGGCGGGAACTGTAGACTCTTATGTAGGACAACTCAGAGCATATTAATTCCAGGAGTAGGACTCAGCATTGGCAACAAAACAGATCATATACATCAAGGCTATTCCAGCAAAGCAGGCGCAGGCACATATCTCACCGCATCAAGCTCCCCCTTACATGTATTCTCCGACAAATAGGGTGTTTAGCCAGTGAGATCAGGAGGCGTCAAACACATTTTAACAGCAGCGGAAATCCTTGTCTAGCGTTAAATTCTTTCTGTGGGCGAGAGACCATGGCGGCCGACCTCGGCTGCTAAAATTGGTGAAGTTGCCAAAGTTGTTGGGTGTGATTAAAATAGTGATCACTTACCCAAACTTAAGGGTTCACACTGGACAGGATCCGACGGACTACCTACTGCTGACTTCTCGTGGGACAGCTGGCCTACATGTAGACCGAGTCCATTTAATCGTTTTGCAATGTTAAAAAAGTCACGACTACGAGGATGAAGTAAATAAAAGGCGATGAGATGGAGAAAGAACATATAATAGGTCTAACAACAAAGTTCAGCACACAGTTGGCGTGCTCAAGCAGATGGCAAAATAAGGATCCAAGACACAAAGTTTCACCAATGTAAAAAATGTTGCTAATCTGTAGAATACCTCCTCAGTTCATCAGCTTGAAAGACAAGACTCCAGACCACAATAAATGTGACCTCGTATACCAGACGTCGTGTGATGGCTGTGAAGACACATGTATCGGAGAAACAGCTCGCACTCTGCAGACCCGATACAGAGAACACACCAGTAGGTCAGCCCCCTGACAGCAGTTGGTGAACATATATCCACTCCAGGACATAACATCTCCGTGGACAATTTTGTTAAGATCATCGCCTGGGAGGACGACCTCTGGAAATGCAAATTTCGTGAAGCTGTGGAAATCAGCAGGCACCGCCCTCATATGAACAGAGATGGAGGGTACGAGCTGACCCATGGGTGTATGACCGCCTCTTGTCGTATGACCAAGCCTGGTCACATGACCGGTCACATGAGGGCCTCAACAACGCCAATTGATAAAGACATCGTGATGGTGTCGCAAGCTCCTGATACGAGCTCTGTAACTCAAGTATGAAAAAGGTATCTTTAAATTACTTAAAGAATATGTTGTTCTCCCTTTGTCTGTTGGCTCTTGTGGTAAGTGTATGCTCTAACAGGTTTGTTCATGGTGTAATTCAAGGATTTTCTATTGTTTCTGATCATCAATCTTTTGTTTACAACCTTTTTGCAACAGCTCCCATTGGTTTTGTGCACGTTTTCTAATCGGGGTCGTCCTTGATTTGAGTCCTGTCCTCATTGCAATTACTCGGTGATGCTTCACAAGTGTGTCCTCGATTTACACCATTAAACATGCACACAAGCGTACACATGTCACACGGATGGATGGACAAAATGGAAACAGTATGCCCCTTCAGTTATGCCGACGAGGCATAAAAAAAGAAGCATTTACACTTAAACACACTATCCTCCTTTGCTACTGGCCAACGTTAACAATTTCAGGGGAAGTAAGTAATTCTTTTTGTGTCTCTCCTACAAGCATAAAATGTAAAAAATTCCAGCTAATTGATTTAGTACAAACCTGTTGTAGTAAACACAGTTGTCCTCTGTGTAGTTGTAGCCTCCGGTGTGGTCGTTACAACAGTTGTTGTTATTCCCTCTGTGGTAGAACCCTCAGTCGTTATCAGTTCAGTGGTGGTAACTGTTGTTGAAGGCTCCTCTGAAAGGTGATTGAAATGTACTCACAGTAGTTGTCATTGTCATGAGGATGACACAAACGTGCTTAAGGATTCAAAAAGTGTAGGCCTAACCTTTTCACCCAATAAAAAGTGTTCCATGGTGGAATGGAATGAGCCCAGTACATGTGTACATAGAGAAGCAATGCAGTTCAGTATAAAAAGCGAAAATGTGATTAAAATGATTTTGAAGAAATAACCGATGCATTATTGTTTTTTTAAAATGTGTACAACATAATGTCTTCCTTGATTGTTTGTCCTCTTACATAATTTGTGTTTAAAGCTCAATTGTACTTTTACCCAAAAAGGTCCCAAAATAAATATAAAGGCCTAACTACTGTTTCCACTTTTTTTTCACTGCAAATCAACTTCGTAAAAAGCAAAATTACAGGACTAAAATCCAACAATGCCCAATTCGAGCCAAATTACAGCTTTTTCACTTGCTCAATTGAAAAGAAGTAGGAATTTGCCAACACTGCCTAATTACTTAATAATAATGATGGTCAAGACAAGTGTACAAATTTAAAATTGTAAAACTTATTTTCTAGATTTTATTTCTTCACTACAGATCCATAGAAGATATCAAGCTGAAATGATAGCTTTGCAAAAAAAAACTATTGTAAGATATTATTACAATTTGCCGGCGAGTCACTTAGGTGTCGCATAAGCACAAATAAGTACAATAACAATGCTATGACACCCACAATGCAAGATGAAAAATAGATCGCAAGAAAAAATGGATATGAACAATTCTCCTTTTAATTTGTTTAATTTTTATTATACATGAATATTTCATTTAATACTGTAGAGACTAAATGCAGAATGGTTCAGGATTGAAAGGAAAAACAAGAAATGATTCGAAATGTTATTTGCTTGTTTCATCATGCTTCTTAGTTAATATTTCACAATTATAACATTTATGGATGGATTCAGAGCATCATGCATAGACTGGCATTGTGAAAGATGAAAAATATTTATTTATGTATTTAACACTTAAAAATGTCGCCAACAATAATATTTGACATCAATAGGCAGCACTGATGACTTCCCCCAAATGGCAGCATGATCACAGTTTCAATCTGTATTGAAGACAATTACATTTTAAAACAATGAAGCCAAAGTTTATCCAGAGTTGAAATATATGAAACAGTGTCAGAATTTCATAACCCCTGTTAAAGAGATCTTCCAATGGTTTTGTGACTCATGACATCAGCACTGACTGGGTGGCACAAGAAGGTAACGACAACACTGAAAACATCCCAATGATATGGGTTAGGCACCTATCATAAGGCACAGAATACCTATGTAATGAAAACTGGTGGGAGCAAGTAAACATGACAAATGCCGGCAGATTACCATTCACTGGCACAAACCTGTTGTACTTGGTACTGTTACAGTAAACTCTGTAGGCCTACTTGTAAAAGGTGTTGTTCCTGGTAACGCTAAGGTGACAAATAAAGACAAAGATGATAAATCGCTTGCTACTTAGAATGAATTCATGAATTTAATACATCAAAAATATTCAACTAAATTTCCCTCCACAGTTGTGTGAAGGGAGTCTACTATGGAAATACCTAACCATTGATCCACTACTGCTGCATATTTCCCTGGAGGGGGCAATCCATTTGCTAAGACTTCACACAATAGCCTACCTACAATGGCCCACCATGTTCTGCCTTTTTTTCTTGAGAGCCAGCCTGTAAGGATCTACAGTGAGCCCTCAGTGGGGAGGGAGGGATGGATGCTCTATGCTCAAGTATTCGCTAGTAGATTCTCTCCAGATGACTGGGGCGGGGGGGGGGGGGGGGGGGGGGGTCTACTGCACTCATGTTACCTGTAGAGCCATTAACAGGGGTGGGAAACAGAATAATACTGTGTGTATACAGGACAGGACAGGACTAAAAACATTGGTTACGTTTACTGGTCATTGTCATCTGTGGAAGTAAACGTAATGGCCAGTGTAAGATATGTGTAAACCAACCATCAACATAGGGTACAACTTAGCCTTTAAGCTGGTCCCATCTACTCAGTATGCTGGGAGGAAGTGCAACAGATACTCTGGTTGCCAGCAATACCATTTTCCCTGTCTGTCTCTCTGTATTGAGGACATCTCGAAGGTAGCAAGTTGTGAAAGTGTTTGGAGTTTCGAAGACTGAGGTCTTGCTTCGGTCAAGGTCAGGCTCACTTTATGTGCAGCCGTCTGTCACAATGGATGGAAGCTCCCTAAAAGCAGTAGACAGCTTCTGCTATCTCGTTAGTGTTGTGTCTCAGAATGCCATGATAGATAATGAAGTCAATGTCCGCATTGCTAAAGCTAGTGCAGCATTTGGCAATCTGCAACGGAGGCTTTGGAGTGATCATGGTGTCCGGCTATCTACCAAAGTAGCAGTTTACCGTACAGTTGTGTTAACCACCTTGCTCTATGGGTGTGAAAGCTAGACTCCCTTCCTCTGCCATATCAACGAATAGACCAGTTCCACATGCACTGTCGAAGAATTGCCAATATCAAGTGGCAAGATAAAGTCCCCAACACCAACATCCTCAAATGATGAATCACCACTGGGATTGAGGTTCGGATCATACATTGTAGCTGCACGCTTATGCTGAATTGGTCATCTTCAGAAGATGGACTATTCCAGAATTCCAAAAGCTCTCTTCTATCGCCAACTGAAGGAAGGAGCTCATTCGTGTGGAAGCCAACATAAGCGTTTCAAAGATGTGCTTAAGGCTAGCTTCAAAGCCTGTAACATCAACTGTGCAACATGGGAGATTACAGCAGCAAACCATACCCAATGGCGCTCAACCTGCAAGATGGCAGCAGAATCCTTTGAGGAATGGTGCATACAGTCTGCAAGAACCAAACGACTGCAAAGGAAGCAAAGACCAGAAACTCCTCCACATGCTGCCCTTGTTTGCAACATCTGTGGCCGGCCTTGTGCATCAGCCATTGGCCCCATCCGTCACCAGCGAAGTCACCATCACCAATGAGATCTGACGATAATGATGGCTCACTCCACCATTGCATGATACTCTCTTCAAATAGGCCCATGTTGTCACCCATCTTGTGAGCATGTATTTTAGACTCGTCCGACCCACTTGACAAATGTTTTGATCAGTCACAATCCAGCATGTGATAGTATCCCACAAAGTTGGTGGACACAGAGGGACTGAAGTGATAAATAGTTGAGTACACTTCCCTCGGTGTGGTTCAGTTCTGCTGAGGTACCACTTCAAGGACCTCACCGGACACCATTTTTTATCTTCTGGAATGGATTCTTGGTGAGAAATGAACTGTGGGAATTAGTTGAACACCATTTGGTTCCCATGTGATGTGGCCAGATTCGATCGACATGGCATGGCGAAAATACTCCAATGTCAAGTTGTTGTTACAGCAAGTAGGAAGGCAAGTTTACTTTGGTTAAAGGTAGAGTTTAGGTTAAAGGTAGAGTTCATTATTTGTCATTTGTGCATTTTTTTAATTTGAAGCAACAAAAGTGCTCAAAATCTAAAGAAGGGTGTTTAACAACTAACTTGATGAAGATTTAACTCAGTCAATGCTGTATATTCTGACCAAAAAAACCCAATATTTCTGAATCTCGTTTTAATTCAAAAGTTGCTGAGTCATGTTTGAAATTTAGCCCAAAATTGGTATCTGGGACATGTTCTCATTCAGCCGATTGCAGCTACATGATGTCACACACTGAACTAATAATTTTGTCACTTACTCTTTGCAAATGATATATTCTATCTATAAGCAGAGTTGTTTGCCCAATTGGTTCATACGGAGTTTGAAAAGTGTTCTTGGTGAAAAGTGTATCCAATGATGGAACCAGTTTACGAGTGGGAGGTCTCTGGACAAACATTTCTTGAAGGATATGGCTTCAAGGCTTGGATGTAAGACATTGAAGAGTCACCCACAAACCCTTTATGATGAGGAATCTTTGGAGATTTTGAGTCCGTATATCTGTAGGGAAGACAGTGCTTGTTCTGAGATAGATCACTGCTCCAATGAATTTTGGGGTCTGTGTGGGAATTGGTTGCAACTTTGCTTCATTGATGAGGAATACCCAAGGCCATGGCCAAGTTCGCGCAAGGACTATAGTTGACCAATGGTTAACTAACGTTTGCCCGAACTCTGTCTAGTCGAAGGTGGTTGACTACGCTAGTCGACTATTTGGAACCAGCCTACTGGGGTTGGTTGCTTCGCTGGTAACCAATAGCCGCGCGCATGCATAACGCTAGCAGAGAGCCAGGATTCAGAAGTTTTGCGATGACATTTTGACCAGCGTTTGACTAGAGACGCTCGCACGTTGCTATCAGTGCGCAGGCGTAAGGTACGTCACAAATCAACCACTAGTCGACTAATGGTCCTTGCCCGAACTTGGCCCTGGTTGAACATTTTGCCTATTTCCTGCTTTGACTGACCGACTTTCAGCCAATCATTCAGGTTCATGAACACCATGATACTCTGTTTGTGTAGCTTTCACAGTCCTTCCTTGAAAACTCTTTAGGGCACATCCCAAGGAAATTTGAAAGTTCGCCGTTAATTTCCTGGTCTTGGCCAAGTCTGACCCTGGCTTGAGAACAGGCTTGCATAAACTGACTTGATCAGAAGTAACAATTGGTTTAGCTTCTGCTTCCACTGAGTCCTGCAATTTCCCAGCAAATAAATCTTGACTCAGAAGACGGAGTGACTCCATGCGTTTTTTTTCACTCCATCAGAAGGGAAAAACAGCGCTTCCAGTATGTTGCTTCTATGTACTTCCAGTACTGAAAAGCTGGCAAACTGTTCCATATACAAGGTTTCATCTTAACAGTGGAAGGCTGCTGACAACACGTAAGCTAGAATAGTGGTACCATCCTCACTTCCACTGACAAGATACTCTGATAGAAGTAAGGAGATTGTGTCAGCATCTTTATTTTGGCGATAAAAACTGTCGGAAAATGACTCTTAGTTGGTTTAGCGTATCTTACTGACATTTCTATTTTGGGGAAATTGGCTCTGGAAGGACTCGGATATTGCAGTCCATTTTCGAATATTATAGTATTCAATTATTTGAAACTGCACTGGACTGAATATTCATATATTCAAAACTTACCAAACACATTTTACACACACCTAAAGCTGCCTTCCTTGCTGGTCAAAAGTTGCATACAAAGCATGCCAGTTAAAAATTGCATGCAGTGATGGATATTATTGAATGCAAGAGTGTTTTGCAATTGCAGTAGAGGTACTGTTCTATCCAGGGAATTACCCGGCTCAAAGATACATACATGAACGTGTCGACAAGAAAGTTACCGTTGACAAAAAAAATATCATCTGACAATGAAATGCAACTTTACAATTAAAATTACTCCCCAGTCAAGTGTGTATGTACCATAGAGCTATATGAAGTTACTAGAGCGCTAAATCGATGTACAAAGAGATGCCTGATAGGCGCATCCATGTTTGTAAACAAACCTATGGAGAACTAGAAATTTTGTACCGGTACGTATTTTGTACATCTATTTGCATATCTGCATTTGTATTCCATACCGGTGCGTTATCGAAGCCAATACACCCAAATTTGAAACACATGATCAGCAAAAGAGCGAGTCATTTTGCTCTACGCAAACAGCGCAACGCGTGCGCGTATTCACTGCAGATGCTTTTTGCCATGACATTTTCTGAACTGTCATGACGCGCTGAAGTTGTTTGCGCATCTTCTACTTTCACGTTACATGTAGAGTGCAGTCAAAATTCAATCCATCTAATTTCCTTGTTCTACAAACACGCACATGTATTCAAAATGTCTGCACCTAGGATGTTTCAAAGCCTCTCTACACGCAAGAATGAGGAGTTAGGACTCTAGTAATTTAATATAGCTCTATGGTACGTGCATAGTTTCTCTTTTTGAATATTTAAACTGGCAAAAAGCTATTCGAATATTTGATTGATGATCAAATATTTCAATATTCGGTATATTCCGGACATCCCAAGACTAAGATAAAGGCAGAACAGCTGGAATTCCACGGCACTGAACAATTCTGATGCTGAATCAATCACTGATGTACCAGGAAGGCATTTGTCCTCGGGAGGAGAGTGCCTCCCTAGACTCAGCAACTGAGAAAGAGGTGGCCTTGTGGAGAGCGCTGATTCCACGTTACAGGTTACCGAGCTCCGAGACGATCTTATCTCATCACCTAACATTACGTTGTCTCTTGAGCACATTTTCAATTCAAAAACTCAGAATTTCATGCGAAGAAACTGACGGAGTCACAAGTAGACTGAGGACACTATATTTTACTCTGACTGGAAAATTTCTTAGTCAAATGCCAGAAGGCAAGGACATTTTACTTGAAAACCGCAGAGAAAAAAAAAATGGGGAAAGAGGTAGAACACGGTGGGTAGACCACAGGGTATTGTAGGTAAAGGCTATTGTGTGAACTCTTCGTTAATGTATTGCGCCCTGTAGGGAAATATGCAGTAGTAGTGGCTCTACAGGTAAGATGGATGCAGTAGACCACCCAATTTTATCTATGATTTACAATCAGTACTTTGGTGACTCATTTTGATTTTGAGTTATTCCTTCATAATTTTATCACTCTTTGATGGAGGTTGCACTTCAACCAGAACGTAAGACTATAAAATGAGAAGTCTTGTGATATAACATTGATAACAGTCTGTTAGCTGTAACAGTTTAGGTAAGCAAGTAGTGTATCTCATTCTGTAACACCAATTCCTAATCAACTTCTCATGTTGCTGTTATTTCCCTCAGCCATCCAAACCTACGTTCAACACAGCCTAAGTAGTCCAGTTGCAACGGTGTGTCTTCTTGAGGTTTTCTCTTCAAACTAAATTGTAAGTCTGTGACAAATCGGATGGGCTCTGTGAAGATCACATTGATGGATTGGTCCTCGATGAGTTGAATTGTGAGATCCTGTGAAAAGGCCAAGGTTGATAAAAAGTCAGTGAGAAAGTTATGGCGACTAATGGTTGGGTATTCGCCCTACATGCAGCTAGATTAATTGGCAGAAGTTTGCTCTTCTGCTCTGCTGAAGGAAAGACTTTTTTCACCTGACAGGACAACCAAATATTTTATTTGGAGTGCCCATTGAGAAGACTGGCATTTATTTGGCATGTGCCACTTGCCAGAAGAGCAGGAGAGACACTCAAGTATTTAGGGGCTAGTCTTGGCCCAACTTGTTAGTGATCGATAGTGATGTTTGCATTGTTGTACCGCACCTTTCTCGCACTAACGTCTTGGAAAACTTGCATCAACAGGGGCTTGGCCCTTTTTATGTAAATGAGACTGTTGGTGTAAATATTAATATCTTCGATCGAAACGGTGGCTTCCCATTTGATACCAATCGTCACATGTGGGGGTTAACTGCATTGCAAATCTAATTAGCAATGCTGGATCACCGCACGTAGCTATATGTTTACAACTGCTGTGCCAAGACAATCAACTTTCCAAACAAAAAAAGGTTAGCATTCAGCGCTGAACGTGCATGACTGACTATAAACCATTTCTTGATTGGTTCCCTAGGAAAGCCCTGGGAGAAAATGAAGAAACATTTAAATGGCTACTACAGGATTCCAAAGACGTTAGTGCAAGCAGGAGCACTGCAGAGGCGGATCCAGGGGGGGGGGGGGGGGGGGGGGGTGGGGTCAAACCCCTCCACCCAGCTGTCAAAAAAAAAATTCATACAAATTCCTAAAAAAAAGTCAATCCCTCCCCCCCCCCCCCCTGCTGTGACACCCCAAAAAAATTGTACTGGTATAATGTCTGCCTGTTTAAAATATGGTACACCATTCTGTAATCTAGTGTTAATAATCGTCAAATTTGAACAGCGCCCCCTATTGAAATATGGTACCCCCCCTCCTCCTCCCCCCCCCCCCCCCCCCCCCCCCCAGTTTTTGATTTTACGGAGGCCAAGTGTCCGGAGAAAAAAAAAACCTGTGTACATTTTCATATTGTTTTGCTGATGAACCCCCCCCCCTGCAAAAATTCCTGGATCCACCCCTGGACTGGTCTAATCATGCCGTTAGATTTGCAGGATCCGCTATCGACCACTAGCGTCTTGGACCAAGGCTAGTAGGGGCCACCATTAAGTAAATTCATGATGACAACATAAAATAGATACATTAAACTATTAAAAGTTTAGGATGATAATGTTTTGATACTCTTACCATTTTTATGAAATCCAATGATCTATTCACACTGTAGCTCAGTGTCACTTCTAGTGGTAGGGTCACCATTGCCTTTATTCGAATTCCCCTTATCTCTGCTGGGGTCCTAAACATTGTCTCAATGATTGAGTATATGACAAGGCTATTGACTTTCCATTCATTCTGTGGACCATAAAGTGTGTTTTTGTCATTGCCGTCAGAGATCACCCACATTTCAACCAAGCCCAGTTCGGTCAGTGATTCCAGACATTCTTCTAGAGGCAAAAACACAAAAAGATTCAAATCACCAAATGCTTTTAAGAACAAATATTCATTGTAAAAAATGAGTCATCTCTGCTGAAGGGGTTGATGTCAATGTAAACTACTTTTAATTAATATAAAATGTCAGGAAATATGTAACTTAACTGTTTGCTGGCATGAGATACGTCCTTTGCTTGTTGTGTTGATCCAGACTTCACAGTCAACTATAGTACATCAACTTTGAATGGAATTGTCTACTTACAACTACTTTATAAGTTTTAGTCAATTGTGATGATTTATTTATGATTAATTGTTTGAAAATAATGACCAAGACTGAATGATTATGAATACAAAGAACTACAGAATTTAACAGCCATAAGCATCTAGGAATAGCCATAGGCGTAGCCAACAGGGGGGGGGGGGGGGGTGGTATTTACCCCCCCCCAATATTTTGTAAAAAACTGCCTTTTCCATTCAAATGCCCTTTTGCCCTTTTTTTCAACGAACTTAACCCCCCCCCCCAAATAATTTGTAGAGTGCCCTTTTTTTACAAAGTGCCCTTTTTTTCTGAACAAGTGCCCTTTTCAAAAGAAGAAGTTGTGCCCATTTTTTGGGGTGCCTTTTTCCGAATTTTGCACATGTATCACCCTGAAAAGCACCATATATTGGCCCTTTGTGTGCATAATTGTCTGTTTTAAACAGTGCCTCCATCGTTAAATGGTACCAGTCCCCCCCCCCCCCCCCCCCCCACTTTTTGATTTTATGGAGGTGAAGTGTCCAGAGAAAAAAACTTTTACAAAAAAAACGTCTACATTTCACAACGGATGTGCAAGTGCCCTTTTCCGAAAATTCTCCCCATAAAAATGACCGTGCTACGCCCCTGATAGCTTATGTGGTCACAAGCTGTCCACACATGTTGAAGACTGTTATATTTTGTTGGATTTGATCCAAATGATCTTTGCAATGAATACTTCATTCCAATAATTCAGCTTAATTGTAATTCTCCTTAAATGTTCCTGTTTGTACTGACAAATAACCAACAATGACAAATCAACCAACTGATAGTCTAAGCCTGCAGGATAACTTGTTTTCCCACCACCAAACCAGAAAACTGTAATGTAGATTTCGAAATTGAAAATGCACTGTTGTAATCCTTGCTGTTAATCTAGCACATAAACAATACCAGCTTAACATTTAAAATTTCAAACGTTGTTGTCAATCATGGCCACAGAGGCTACCTACCTGAAGTGGTAGTTATTGCAGCTGTTGTGATCTGCTCAGTTGTGGTACTCGGGGCAGCTGTAGTTGTTGGAGGTGCTTTGGTTGTTTGACCTGCTGTAGTTGTTGGTGGTGCTGTGGTTGTGTGAACTGCAGTGGTAGTTAGAAGTGTTGTGGTTGATGGCGATATTGTGGTAGATGGAGGTGGCAGAGTTGTAAATACAGCTGTGGTTGATTGGAATGGTGTTGTTCTCAGAGGCGTGGTTGTCTTCACGGGGGAAGTTGAACTAAGGGGTGTGGTTGTCTGTGTCGCAGATGTTCTCAAAGATGTGGTTGACCTTGCTGTGGTTGACCTTGCTCTGGTTGTGGATGGAATAGTTGTAGTGGACCTCAAAGCTGTGGTTGACGGTAACGTTGTGGACCTTATGGTGGTCGTTGGAATAGTTGTAGTTGACCTCAGAGTTGTGGTTGATGGTAACGTTGTGGACCTTATGGTGGTTGTTGGAATAGTGGTAGTTGACCTAAGAGTTGTGGTTGACGGTAATGTTGTGGACCTTATGGTGGTTGTTGGAACAGTGGTAGTAGACCTGACAGCTGTGGTTGACGGTAATGTTGTTGACCTTATGGTGGTCGTTGGACTAGCTGTGGTTGACCTCAGAGTTGTGGTTGATGGGATGGTTGTTGTTGACCTTATGGTAGTCGTTGGCTTCTGTGTAGTTGTTATCGATGGTGTTGTTCTATGTGTTGTTACTACAGTCGTGGTTACTCCTTTCATAAAATGATTTGAGGAAAATTGAAGTTACATAGAAAGCTGCTTGAAAATACATAATATTGCCCACTGAATGCCAGGGGAGGGGGAATAGATTTCCTCTGTATATGCAAAATAATAGATCATCCATTGGAAAATAGGGAAAATTATACCAGTAACTCTTTTTCTCGTAATAGGCAAAGGTTTGGTATTGACAGTCAAAAAACAATAGAAGCTCAGAGTGTTGAATGTCTGAAATTATGTGTCTAATAGAATGTATCATATTAAACGCTTGTAAAAAGAAAATTTACAAATATTATTTATAATTATACCTGGTGTTGTTGTACATCCAGGGATAGGATTACAGATCATCTCATATTTAATGTCCTCACTGCTTCCAGAAAAGTCCAACTCGCATTTGCAAAGCTCGCATCCAATTTGGACTTGATCTCCAGGCTAGTAATAATGTTTAAAAAATCAAATATGTTGATTGCTTGAAAGTTTTGTTTGAAGGTGAGAGTACAAACAAAATTATGCTAAATTATGCATTTAAAAAATGCTAAATGTCGAATACAAGAATGATGGAATGAGGAATTACATGCAAGCAAGTTAATAATTTTTTTCCAATTTGGATCGGATGGTGTTCTTGTTAAATTCTCTAATCTAAGACAAACAAATAACAGAAACTGACCTCGTAAGTTTTATTATTGAGAACACAAGGTCCCCCACAAGGTTGCTCGATTTTCACACACATATATGTGTCCCAGGCGAAGCCAATGTGGTATTGCAGGAATTTTTCATTCAGGCCATCGCTGTAGTCTCGGAGATACCCTTCTTTGCACTTACATGGTATGGGGTAATCCATAAAATGCGCAAAACTGGGATTACAAAAGATGTCTGTTGTGAAAGGAGGGGACTGTTGATTGTAATTGTTATAGTCTTGATCTTCACACGGAATTGGTTCCACAATGTGACACTCGTCGTCGCAATCTATGCACACACACAAAAAAGAGACGTTATATGAAGTGTTTGCTTCACACTAATACTGAGAGCACACTCAGGTGGCACTTCACTGAACAAAAGGTGAGGAAAACCATGGGTTATGAACTTCACTAGTAAAACAGGGTGCTGTACAGCATGTGTCAATAGAAGTGTAGCAGTCAATCCATAAATATATTAAAAATACTAGCACTTTCTTTTTGTAAAACATGAGTCTGAATGTAAAGTAAGTATTCTACACAATGGTCTTTATCCCATCTCACTTGGACAGCCAGTCCAGAGATATAGCTAATTAAATGAAAGTACTTGAATTCCAAGTTGGACCTCTTTTTTTAAGTTACGGCCAACTCTAAAGACTGTAACAATCTTTTTGGGCCACTCTTCAGATTATCTGGTATCTACTGAAAGGCATTCATAATACCAAGGTGTGTGGATGCCTTTCTTAGATACGAGATCATCTGAAAAGCGGCCCAAACTTTGTTGCTTGTTCACTGTTCATATGACCTGCAGTGTATGTATATCAACAATTACAGGCGAAATGATGTCCTGTAGTTCTGTAATATTAGTGCTCCCTCCTAGTTGCCAACAAATAATGTTTGATAGGGTAAAAGTATTGGGTTGAAATCAGTATTTAGAAATAACAATAAAAGTTGTTGCTGCAATGGTTTTCAATGTAAAAGTAAGACGTGTTTCAGATAATTACCTGGTATGAAAGGAGTAGTACCAGGTGTGGTGGTTGGTGCAAGTGTACCTGTTTTGTTGAGAAAAAGTGATAATTATCAGTAGGGGCGCAATATTTTAATGATCGATGCATCGATAATCCCTATTCTGAAATGCCACAATACAGCATCATGATACATAACTGTGTATATGTAGAGATACATACAGGGCGAGTAAAAAAAAGCGGAACCTAAACACCAAAAATTATATTTCATATTTAAAAAAACATATAGCAATAAAAATAATAATGACTGGAAAGCCAATTTCATAAGCTACTTTTAGCTGAAAAAAAAAAAAAATACAGAAACTGCTCTATCCATTCCAAGAATATAATTATAATCATTTTAACGCAATGACCCTAAAACCTGTTTCGTCCAAAAAAAAAAGGCAATTTATTGTGTATTCTGACTGTGTATTTTGACCCAAGTATCGTGAGAAAGTGGTACTGTTACATCCATCCATTGAATTTCACACCCTGAATATGGAGCATCACTTTTACACTAAGCATATACAGATACTTGCCTGGTGTTGTAGGAAGCGCAGTTGTTGTTGGTGCTTGGGTAGCAGTAGTTCGTACAGTTGTGGGTGGCACAGTTGTGACTGTAATATAATACTGAAATGTCAATCGGCTTGTAAAGTAATACCCATTGTAAACCAATGGTTATTTTGCTTGAATTAGCCATCTGTTAAAAAAAAGGTAGCCTCAAGCTATATACATGTACTCTCAAGGCAGATGAGATGGTCCCTGGCATGTTTAGGGGAACCTATAGAAAAGGTAATGGGGGGGGGGGAGAGATTTGGCACTTTTCATGATTATGGACATGAAAATATGTCACTGTTGTGTTAAGGACCTTTAAAAAAAAATTATATGGATTTTCAGGTCCTGAGGGTTGGGGCAGCCCTAAAGCCAATCCATAACGGCATGCTTATTTGCAAACGGTACTCTAACACAAAAGTGCTCAAAGAAATTGTCATCATTCCATTTAACTGTACAAAGCTTATCAAGGATTTCCTCGTAAATGTAGGGCCTATCAAAAATTGCTTTGATTAAAAATAATAATTATTATTGTAATTATGAATCATTTCTGGTAATGAAACCAAGGATTCCTCAAAACGCCCTTGGCACTGTAGCTCGCAATAGTAACAATATTGAGCTTAATACTGAAGGAACATTTTGCTCAGGCAACACAGTCTGTATCAAATCAACATGCATGATAAATGCACTGTAGAAGAGCCACACCATGTGCACACACCCAGCTGCGCAATCATTATGTGACCAGGGAAAACAGGCTCTTCATGTTTGAGAGGGAACATTTTATCCTGCAGTGGCTGCATGGCAGCAGCGCTGTAAACAACTTGGCTGTTCACAGTAATTAATCTTACATGTGTTCTACTGGGTAGCTAAACCCAAACTGGTAACTAGCTAGGCCACCATTAAGTGTAAGTCGCTGCTTACTACAAGGAAGTCCGAAACGGCTGCAATGTGAGGTGTCATGTGTTTGACCCAAGCATGATGAGGATGGCTGTTCTTCACAGTCATGTCTTCAGGCAGAAGATCTGTGTTGAGATCGCAGTCGAATGCTGTAATGTCATGACTCAGTTTTGAAGCCAGGTATCCCCCAACAATGTCAATACAATCGTTGGTGTATCTGCATGACCGTGTTCTTTTAACAAATTAGACGCAAGTTCGCTTAACTGTCGTTCTGAAACTTCCGCGACCAAATGAGTTAATCGCGGAAAACGATCGTCTATTTGAGTTAATTCAACTAATGTTTCCGACCGCTTACGTTTTGTGTCAGACATGATGACTTAGTTTTACAACATCCAACCATTTTTTTATTCTACATTTCACCAACTTTAAAAAAATTACACGGCAGATTCCTGATCCACAACGTACGTTTGTGAATTTCCCGCACAATAACACATCGATTGCTTATTAGAACCACGCGGAGTTCGCTAATACTGTAGACAAAGGGACTGTAATCGGTAAAAATGCGCTTTGTGTGTATCCGCTGGATACACTGTTACATTGGCCTGGTGCCAGTCATCTGGTATGTCGCCTGTATCAAGTAACTGCTGGTATACAATCTGTAGAACAGGTGCCAAGGTAGAAGCATGGTCTTTCAATATCTTAGTTGGTATTTGATCTGGACCAGTAGCTTTTCTAGGACAAAGCAAGGCAACCGCTTCTCAACTCCCGTTGTACTAATTTGAATGTCAGGCAGGATGGGAAAGGGGCTAAGATTCTTTGATGGCATGGTGTCAACAATTTCTTTTGTAAAGACTGAGCTGGATGGTGTCAACATCTTCTTTTGTAAAGACTGAGCTGTATTGTTTGGACAACACTTCAGCCTTGTCTTTAGGTGAGATCACAACCCGGTTTCCTGAGACCAAGGAAGAAATACCCATTCCATCCTTCTCCAGTGATTTAACATACTTCCACAGTTTCTTGGGAGCACTCTACTCATTCTCAAATATGCCATTGACGTAATGGGTGCGTGACTCATCGAGCTTCTGCTTAATTTGTGTCTGGAGTGCTCTATACTTGGTTCAGTTCTTCTGTGTCTTGAATTTCTTGTATGTTGTGTGTCTCTGTTTTCTGCGTCTCATTAGACATTTTATTTCTGGTGTCTTCCATGGTAGATCCCATCCGCCTTTCAGATGTTAAGTTGGCACTAGTGGCCTTGGCAAGGGAGGGGGGGGGGGGGCTGACAGCGCCCCCCCCCAACTGAAAAATTCCTGGCTACGCCACTGGTTGGCGCATTCTTGTCCATGATGCTTGTGATCTGCAGCTTGAAATGGGTCCAATTTGAAGATGCAGTACGTGATTTCCATGTTGTGCTAAAATCAGTGGCAAAAGATTCAAGATCTTCTTTGAGCCCTTCATTGTCAGCCTTGTTGTGTAAATAAACCGTTCTGGGTTTCTTCCTGTTTATTTGTATAGTTATGTTGCAGTCGGCAGTCACGGCCTCATGGTCACTCATACCGGGAACGACATTCACGTTTTGTAGGCTGTCAGGAGCGTAGGTAAGGATCAGGTCGAGCACATTTCCCTTCCTTGTAGCCTCAAGGACAAGTTGATCTAGGTGGAAATTGCTGACAAGGTTGACCAAGGTTGACCTGTGGTTTTTAGCGACATGTTTTTCACATAAGCCACAAGGATACTTCACTGGGCCGGGATTTTCATGGATAATATCCGCTAATCATGAGGAAAATAGGCATCAGCATTATCATACATGTAGCAAAATTCATGTGGGAGATTTTAAAGTTCTCATGTTTGTCAGTGCACCCAAGCTGTGGCGGGAGTACGAGTCCGTCACCTTGGATCAAAGTCACCCAACAGGTTCCCAATTTAAGTGCGTCACAGTTACATTGCAGAAAATTGTAGAAAATTCCATCAACAATTATATGAAACACAGACAAAACTCCAGCAAAATCCAACACCTTTCAATGAGAATTAAGCAATGATAACTTGCTGATGTTTAGAATCCTCACGTTTCTCAGTACACGCCAGCTGCAACAAGAGTCTGCTATCTTGGATTGAACTCACCCAAGTGCGTCACAGTCACATTGTAGCGAAATATACTAAGTACAGGGATCAAAACTCCAGGAAAATCCAACCAGTAACTAATAAGCGATTGTAGGTTAGGTTTCAGTAGACTACCAGTTTGTTTTAGGTCCCAAATGCCCTGATTAACATATGTGTACAAAGTCCAGGGGATTTGGAGGTGGAACAAAAAGAAGAAAAAAATCTTCAAATATACACCTTTAAGATCGTGTCACATGACCATTGATTACATCATAATGACATCACTTGTCCAAGGGCCAACTTAATCTTGGATTCTTCGTCTGTGCCTAGTTTGAAGTTAATTGGATTGTATTTTATGTCATATTTTGCTAGTATAAGAACATTTTTAAAAGTTGAAAGTTAATAAACAAGTACCAAGTGGTACAACCCACAGCGGTTACACAAACAGCACTACTGCGAATTTGGCAATGCAATGGGGCGTAATCTAATATGCAAATTAGATGCATGCGCATCAGTGTCACAAAGCTGTAGGTATTCAACAGACTCACTGGCAAAGCTGTGATACGCGTGTGGCATGAAACAGTATAATACACCCTGAGTAAAGTGTCCACCAACCAACCCACCCACTCACCCACTCACCAACCCACCAACCAACTTAAGCAGCTCAAGCCCATGGTGTGTTTCACACCGCCGCCGGAAAAAGCAGTTGATGATGTCATCATGAAGTCACTTCTGATTTCGTATACTGGCAATGTATCTAACTACCAACCAAGTTTCAAGAAAACTGGATTTAACCTTTTTGATGACGTCATCATGACATCCTACACTTGTCAGATTTAAGTGCAAATATAAGTATGTATGACCTAACATACCTATTACAAAGTTTGAATTTAGCTTGTACTGTTGATGAGATATGGCTTAAGGGTACAAACAAAATTAAAATAACGTTACCTCATTTTTTGCCTATAACACATCATGACGTCACTGTGCGGGACACAAGTTCACCTTGGGGTCTTTACAGTTAAGTTTTATGGGAATTTTCTAAAAACTAAAATCTTAACAAATACAAGAGCTGTTTAAGCTAGAAGCAAACACAGGTGAGGAAAAAAAAACAGCGTAGTGTAAAATATGTTAATACATAGTGAGTTATGATGTCTTCCCTCTAAACCCCCCCCCCCCCCAAAAAAAACCCACCAATCCCACCCAAATATTTATAGCTCAGTGATGTCAGCAACTCCATCTTTCACCTTAACAAAGGTATTATCATAAAGAATTGTTTGGTTTTAAACACCAAATATATATTTAAAATCATTTCAATAGAGATTCACATACCTGTACAGGTGGGAAGATTGATGTCATTTACGCAGTCAAAATAGTATTGCGATAGCACGAAGTTAAAACGACACGTGCAATTTTCACAGTTGTCCCTGATATAGGAGTAGCCCTCCTATATGGTTAAAGAAAATAAGCAAAAAAAAAGAGAGTGTTTGACTTGACCAATTTTGGGCAACATGTTCAAGTACAAAGAATAGTTATCAGCATGCAATTTCTACATTAGCAAAAAGAACATCATCAGGGATTTTTTTTGTAATAACTGCAGAAATATCAATATGACATAAATCAAAACGTATAAAATGAAAATTGAAGAAAAATAGAAACAATATAATTACTTAAGAATTAATAGATCATTTTAAGTGTTTTCTTTTTTTCAAGTTTACTCAATTGTAACTTCCCTAATTTAAGTTACTCACCTCATAATAATTACCGAGCTCATCAGAGCAATCACAGTTCTCTTCCAAGCGTAAGCACATAAATGTACCATAATGGAACATGTATATGCTGTCAATGTCTCCATTGGGGCCATCTTTGTAATATCCCTCTTTACATTTGCAATCTGGATCAAAGGTTGGGAGGATAGTGGTGCACAGGAAGTTCTCATCAAATGGTCTGTTGCCTCCCACAAAGTACTGTCTGTCACATTCTATTTCTTCGTCAACATGGCAGTAGTCCGGGCAAACTTCAAAGCAAACAATTTCAAAATGCATAACAGTGACTTCAAGGAAGATTTTTAATTTACTCTGTAAATATTAGTAGATAAATTACAAATCTGTAAAAAGCTTAAATAAACTACACAGGCTTCATACCATAGTTTAGTGGATTGGATGTTAATTAAAACAAAACCAAAAATAAACAAAAACAGTAGTGTTAAAAAAACACAAATGCCTTGCAACTATGCATGCCTATTTCCACGACATAACACCGCTCTATTTACATCAACTTACCAGGGTCACATGGAACGTTCACTGATATTGTTATTGTTTTCTTTAGGTCATATATGTGATGTATTGATGCCTATGATCCTATAATGAATTTTAGTTTCTTGCTTTTCTGTTGGAAGTCATTGTATGTGATTTAAGCAAACTGACTGGATATTTTCAATCTTAAGCAAGACATTTCTCAAAGGCAAATTCTTTGAGCATAATCCTTTGAGCATTTACAAGGCCTACATGGAAATACGAATGTTTACATAATCAAAAGAAATATGGTTATTTGAATAAGCTTGAGTAATCATCATGACATCATATCTTTGGTTTTTAATATTTCGTGAAAACCTTGTGGAGACGTATTCATCTATAGAAATTGCCCTTTGGAGATGTACAATCTTTTGTTCCCTAAAAACACGTCTCCAGAGGGTACGGTGTATCAGATCACACGCACACCGTCGCACACAGTTTGATTTAAGCAAACTGACTGGATATTTTCAATCTTAAGCAAGACATTTCTCAAAGGCAAATTCTTTGAGCATAATCCTTTGAGCATTTACAAGGCCTACATGGAAATACGAATGTTTACATAATCAAAAGAAAATATGGTTATTTGAATAAGCTTGAGTAATCATCATGACATCATATCTTTGGTTTTAATATTTCGTGAAAACCTTGTGGAGACGTATTCATCTATAGAAATTGCCCTTTGGAGATGTACAATCTTTTGTTCCCTAAAAACACGTCTCCAGAGGGTACGGTGTATCAGATCACACGCACACCGTCGCACACAGACGGACAAGGTAGAAACAGTATCCCCCTTCGGCTTCACCATAAAAAAATCTTTACAATAGTCAAATAAACAATATAACTATCCAAAGGGAATACAATTCTTATAAGCAAAACCACTCAGTTTTGACACAAATGTAATGCTTAAGAAAATTGTATTATTCTGTTGGTGTGAAATGGAAGTTTTTTGCCTTACTTGTGATGCCCGGAGTGGTGGCAGGAGGAGTTGTTTGTTGGGTTGTAGATGCTTTTGTCGTTGATAGCAAAGTCGTTGATAGCAAAGTCGTTGGGACTGGTGTTGTAACTATTCAGTATGTGCAAAGAAAGAAAATTAACAAAATAGCCATTAATAGTCCGGTTCACAATGTAATTGAAACGTTTGGGGATCAGCAAAACTGTACATTTTTTGGGATGCTTAGGATCTACTGAATCAAAAATTCAGTAGTTCAGTAAAGAGGTCATCCTTAAGTTATTTTCATATATCATTATCTAATATAGCTTTTTTGACAGTCAAAACCTTGTATTCCCTTTCGACCGAAACAATAGTTACAGCCCTGAGCCAGTGCATTTTGGGAATCAAATATGGTTGCCATCAACATGAAACCAATTTTAAATTTCACCACTGCCGCACAATTTTGTTTCTATTACTTTTTTGGCAGATCTTTGAAGAAACAAAATGAAATGATTCAACACTTTTAAAGCTATGACTAGAAACGTAAGAGCTCTTAAAAATCAAAATTTACATAAACAGGAGAGGACTACAGATCTTGCCCTTTTTGAGAACTTTTGTCGTTCAGAATTTCATGGCTTTTTGTTGAAAAATTACATTCAAGGGGCAATATTTAATTTTATCAGAATCAGATTTATTTATGGAAATTACACAAAAATGAGTTATGAAGTAACGACAGTTTCTTTTTTTGTGAATTGTGATTATGTGTGATACAGGTTGGTGGTGTTCCTCTCTCCACTAATTACCAGAGCAACCTAATGCCACATAAAGTATAAATTTCAATTTTATGGAGCGTTTACGATTCTAGTCATGGCTTTAAAAGTTTTCAATCAAATCAGTTTTTTTCCACATGCAATAAAAACAGCAATGGCATGAAAAAAACACAAACACAATATAGTCTCACATGAATATTTGTTAGACATGGCCGATAATTTTTCCAGGCCGGCTTTTTCTGCGACACACTGTATTGCAATAATTTCTAGGTCAGGCCATGTTTCATTGTAAATTGACTGGTTTGTGAATACCGATGACAGATTGGCTGAACCACTCAATGTCAGGTAGGATTAGGTCACCACCTATTCACAAAATTGATTTCCTGTTGTTAAAAATGTTATGTACTGACTCATGCAAATGCTTTTTTTTTTTTTTAGATATTTCCCATTGGAGCTCGGGGGTGGTATAAAGTGCTATTATGAGGGATTAGCCTGTTTGTAAACTGACGTTCTTGTACTTGAGATCAATCTTAATGAAGATAGCCTTGCAATGCAGCTGTGAGGAAGACTTTTCCATCCAAACCAGGACCAACTCCAATGGTGACTCCACATCAACAGTCTGATCTTTTCCTGCTATACCTGTTTACACTTTCACACGTAGTCTAATTCAGATTCAACCAGTTGTCCGAATGACTATACCTGGTTTTAATAGCGGTTTTTCAAAATGTCACCAGTTTCTTTTAATGCTGCGACAGTTGATACCCAGAACACCAAGGTTTGAAATAGGTTAGTGCTGGGACGTTGACCCAATTTGCAAACCATTGTGTCCAATGGGGGGGGGGGGGGATGGGGAGGGGGGTGTCTGCATGGTGAATTCTCTTGCGTAAAGTTTCATGAAATCAGCTGCTGGGCATTGTGGGTAGGCTATTGTGTGAACCGTCAGAGAAATATGCAGTCGTAGTGGCACTACGTGTAAGGTTAGACCGATACGTTTCATTTGCAGTTACAGAGATGGGGGAATCACCATACAGCAAAATCCTAATTTGTGTCTAGTCGCACACATTTGAAAGGGGGGGGGGGGTGCTGTACACCACGTGACTCTAGGGGACTAGGGGATATGCACTCCTTCCCCCAGAAGTTTGGGGAAAGCAATAATGGAGATTTATATTGTTAACATTTCAGTGACCCAATCCATAAAATAAAGGCCCCCTCCACAGAATAAGACCCTCCCCCCACTCTCTTGCCCCCTGCAATTTGTACCCTAGTTATACCACTGTACATAACTGACAATTTACACAGGCTTCCATCAAATATAAATCTGTAGGATGTGAATAAGGAAAACCACTGATGTTTACAGTGTACTTACTGTGACAATAAGGACAGCAAATATTTGGATCGTCTATTGGCTGTTAGGAAAAAAGTCATAGAGAGTGTATCTATCAAATGAAGTCTTAGTCATAACAAATTTCTCGCAAAATGAAAAAGTTATTTCATACAAATTGTAAGTGTTTGTTGAGAAATAGGTTAATTAAGGTTATTGGTGGAATGATGTTCTTACATGCCTAAAGATATATCAAACAGTTGCTAGAACTCTGAGCAAACTAGCAAAAAAGCTAAATGTCTGTGAGATAAGGACAGATCACAGTGCTTTCCTGATGTGCAGTTCCTTATATATATTAAAGAAGTTTCGTAGAGATAGAACTTTAAAAAAATAACTTGAAGCTTATGTCTTAATTATGACATTATGCTTATGACATTTCATGGTTCATCTTTTTGATGTGATTTTTGTCTTTGCCAAGGTTCAAGTTGAAAATAATATATAAATCCAAAAAATTCATAATAAATCAATTAATTTCAATCATCTTGACATGATTTTATTTTTTACATACAGATTTCATGAAGAATAAATTGTTGAAGAAGAAACTGTATATCTTTACGTTTGGTGATGATGTAGGCCCTAATCATTATAGACAATAAACAACAAAATAAAGTATTAAGTACACTTACATTTTGACATGGAGCTGGGGAGCATGATGTAGTATTACACATCACCGTTTTTGACTCTTCACATACACAGACTGTGCACTTATCAGGATGCCATACCTCACCAATCTTAAGTATTCAGAATATTATCAAAGCAATGTGTAAAAATCAAAGAAAAGCAGCTTTATTATTCATTCATATATACCTCATAGTTTACCCATTTCTATTGGTTAAGAGACCATTACATGGGTGGTTTTAAAATGCTAACAAAACACAGGCAAGAAGGCCAGTAACAAACGAGGCCCCTTAACCAGGACAATAAATTTCTGCTCTCTAAAATGTATTCTTAAGAGTTTGTAGGCTTTGAAGTTTGATAAAAATGGGAATAAAGTAAATTATTTTACATCGTTTTAACATTAAACTGTCTTGAACAATATGTGCTTGCTCGCACATAATACAGTAACCCTGTGCATAATTCTGCACATACATACACTTCATGCGAGGCAGTTACAACAACTGGCCAGTCTAGTTGCTGGCAAAGTAACACTGGTCGTTACATCTAGATTCATGTTAAACCTTTATTCCAAAACAACACAAGTAGATGTCTTGCCGATCTTTCCTTGCCATGTACATAATGTCAGTACAAGTAGACACAACATGTAGGTACAAACATGAACATGAGATACTTTTCTATGATTACCTTTCAACATATGTTTCCTTATTCTGTGGTTTAATTAACTTATTCACAAAATGGCTATATACTGGACCAGCTTAGGTCATTAGGTTATCACTTTTAACCAAAAATTAATGTAAATAACTGCATGATGGAGCAGTACTAAATATCTGAAAATTTGATAGTGCGTAAATTTGTTGCAGTAAATTACTACTACAGACCACATTTAAAGTAGCCAAAACATACCTCTCTGTAGACCATAGGAGGATCATGTACATACCGACAACCATCTGCAACAAAATAACAAGACCTAATTGTTATTTTTCCCATTATCATAACACGAACAACACTTAGGCCGTGTTCCCATTGGACTTTTTTCCGTGGCCACGTGGAAAACCGAATCACCATGATTCACCTGGAGGAATGTCACATATTGCGAGAGTAGTGCACAATAACTCTTGACCTAATAACTCTTGACCGGATAATTTGCACATGCTAAAATAGTCAGCTACTTGACCAAAGTGACTCATGCACGACGCAATGCTAATAGTGTGGGATATTATGGGGAAAATGACTTATTTATCTGTACCGGTGAATTCGAGACATTGAATAGCATTTACGTCCTCTGCTCGTCTCTGCTTTTCTAAAAATCCTCCGTCCGACTTCACCATCATTTTCACTGACATGTAATCCACTCAAACTTCTCACAAAATTGATCACATCTGCTATGATTTTGAGGAGCGAACAGACAAAAAAAGGTCTCTATTTTATTGGTCGGGTTTTGTCCGTGTGTATTACAGGCACCGTTCCCATATGAGAGAATGGAAGTCCACTTTTTAGTTATTGGACTCATCAACTACAGTGTCGTTTATTGAGGGCAGCTGCTATATAGGTTTTGATTTTTTTCCCAGGAGATATTTTGTGCAGAACGACAATGGAGACGAACAAATAGGCAACATGAAAATAAAGATGGTGATCATCGCGACACACCGTGAATTCACAAAGCCGCATGTTGATTGGCATAACATCAAATTGATAACTGCATAGGAAATTCGCATTTTCTACCCCAAGATGCCGTTTCAAATTGCAAAATTAGGGTCATCCCAATTAAAAGAAGAATACCTAAGGTTGTAGGAGTAATTTTAGAATGATAAAAACATGTTAAGGACTTATACAAAAAAAACAAAAGAGAAACCCACTTCACAATGGCCTGTTGTACCATACAAAATAATGAAACTTTCTCATTTTCATTCAAATTTGCTTTCGTTGTTGAAAGTGGAGTGATGTAATACAGGAAGTGATATTTGTTTGCAAAGCATTTGACAGCAGGGTCCCGGTAGTTCGACACCGTATCAGTGTCCCTGATAACTTACCATGGCTGCGTGCAAATCTCCCGCGACCATTTTGGCCTGGCAGATAGGGATGTAATAAGTTTATTGTCTGTCCCCATACTGAATTCAATAATTATTAACAGTGTTCTCTTTCAATGGCCCTAGATTCAGTATAGCTCTTTACAGGGTGAATCAAAATAAAGGTAATCCAAAAGTAATTGGTTAACATATTAAAGTTACGAAATTGAGCGCTGTCAGAGTGGATCCATTTTGAAGGGTAATTCATTAGCTTTTCATTGATATCTTATTTGCATCTCTTCAGTCACGGATGACAGACCACCATTGATTTCAAAACAGAGGCCAATAAACCCCTGTTTTGAAGTATACTTAATAAGTGGTGAGTTATTTAAAGCTATCGGATGAATGTGCTGTCGCTGTGGATGGTACGTTAAAAGAGGGTATGTTGGAGATACTGGTGCTTAAATTGGTATATCATATTTTCCATGAATAATTAATCACTCTAAAGATTTTGTTTTTCATCACAAACTAGCAATCCAATCAAGGCATTGCCAAAGTCATGCCAAGTTGGGCAACGCCCAAGCTATGTTTTGAGTCCCTTTTTTGCAATAAGGTAGATGTTAGTCTAATTTATAAAAATAATCTTTGAAATGATTGATTTAATCATGAAACATGCATGGGCGTTGCCAGGATTTTTTTCTAGAGAGGGGGCAAAGCTCATTATTTTCCCCAAATCCCTATACTTTTCCAGCATATTCTCAATTTATCATTTTTCGAGGGTGGGCAGGGGGACATTTGCCCACCCCACTTATTTAATTAACAGCAATATGACTTTGCACTTCTTTTTCTTGTCTTTTTCCCCTCCTCTCCTTTTTCTTTTTGCTTTTTTTTTGGGGGGGGGGCCCTTCCCCCTCCTCACAACACCCATGGAAAAATGATATTCCATTCATACTTGAACGCTTTCAAGATGTCTTTTTAACTGCTCGCATTTAACACGTAATCCACTGCGAATGCACACTTTTTGGACAGCTCAATTCACAACTGACAGCTTAACTCACTACTTATTCAGCTAACTTGGAAACAGGGATTTAATGACCTTTGTTTTTAAATCAATGGTGCTCTGTCATCTGTGAATGAAGACATGCAAATAAAAAGCTACGAATTAAGATGAAGCCACTTTGACAGTATTCAAGGATACCTTTTTTTGATACACCCTGCATATAGATTAGAAAAAGTGAACAAACCTATTGGAATGCAGTGGCAACAAACCAAATCATTGGGTAACTCATTCACCAGTCGATACTAAAAGTAGGGGGGAAAAAGGAACAGAAACTCATTAACACATGAACTAATAATTTCTGCTGAGAAAAGAAACCAACAGATCAACATTAGCTGTATCAATGAGAGATTTAACTCAATTACTGTTATAATTCATTGCATAATGTAAAGTTAAAATAGGAATGTTTTTAAATGTACATCACACCTTTGGGGGGGATATTAAAACTCCTACCTTCTCCAAGATAACGTTTTTCCAGTTTATCTTACACTGACCAATTCCACGGTACATATTCTTAACCCTTTAACTGTTGGGTGGAATCTACTCCTTTTTTGTCACTAACAGGCATGATATTTTCTTTGCTAAGCCTATAGTTGTAGCTATAGAAGTACTTTTTGTAGTTGTTATCACGTGTATAGCCAACTACAATAACAATTTAGAAAACTCTGCTGCGAGAAGGTAACAGCTCTTTTAGGGTTTTTAATGTCGAGTCCCAAGTTCCAAGGATGCCACTAACATAGGGGTGGTTCATACACTCGACTAATGTGCATAAATCTTTAGCAAGCTAGATATCCACATGCAAGTTGCACTAATTAATTATGTGTGTTTCTTGCACAAGGTCATGATTTTGTACAGATCTGGAAAGGAAACATCTGTCCTTGTTAATGATTTGATACAATTAAAAAAAATTTTTTTTAATCGGTATCCACTTAGTTGAGAGCAACTTACGCCTTCAGGACAAGTTTCACCACAATATTCCCCGCAGCTTGTTTCACAGAGGGTTTGGTTCACCCATTTGCACATCGTACAATTGCCTTCGTACCACACTTTGTCAACCTGTACAGAAGAAAACAACTTTGTGTTGGAAGTTTCAAAATGCAACTAAATTCTGTGGGGGGGGGGGGGGCCTAAAATTCAACCATTCATTATTTAAAATCTTACATATGCAAGCGTTTCCTTTTCCACACCATTTACTACTGTAAGTTCATGTAAAGAATTTTCTTTAAATCTATTATGACCTGATTATTTCAATATTATATTGGAAAAGTAAAAGGAAATGAAGTATATGATTTGTAACCTGTGCAGAAGAAAACAACTTTGTGTTGGAAGTTTCAAAATGCAACTAAATTCTGTGGGGGGGGGCCTAAAATTCAACCATTCATTATTTAAAATCTTACATATGCAAGCCTTTCCTTTTCCACACCATTTACTGCTGTAAGTTCATGTAAAGAATTTTCTTTAAATCTATTATGACCTGATTATTTCAATATTATATTGGAAAAGTAAAAGGAAATGAAGTATATGATTTGTATTATAAGAGTAGAAATTTTGTCCCATTTTAAAACAAATTAAAACTCGATTGAATATGCTTCTTTGCCTTTCCCATTAATGAGCAAGATTTGAACCTGTAATGTCTAGAACACCATATCAGCACTCAACTGAGCTTACCTACCATCTAGCTGTCAATGTCTTTATAAACGGGGCACTGTAACATTAATGCCCTGACACAAACAATAACAACAGATATTTTTTAAATTGATAATAATTAGTACAGATCTGATTCAAATTACTTTGTGATCCTCGAATTCACATGGGCAATCGACAACACACTCTGTGCCATTCCAGTACTGGCCTTCAGGACAACTGCAGCCAGGAGTGCACTCGGATGGGCAGGGTACCAGTTGTTGGTCGCAGGTACGGTGGCAGGCACATTCTTGATACTCCATTGGCCCACAATCTTCGATTTAAGGCAAGCAAACAAATCAGTCAATTTTCCATCCAACAACAAATACTTTTTGATGAGGGGAGAGGTCTTTATTCTGCTAAGATGAAGTTGCAGAAAGAGCAATGGGTGTTTGTGGCAATTCTTCAGAAATTGAACCTAACTTAATTTTTTGGGATTTTTTTACGTTATGTAAAACAAATGATTATTGTTCACTAAACTATTGCTAGTAATTAAAGGTGCAAATTTGTTAAGAAGTTTCATAAGTTGGTCTTTCCATGCATAAATTAGCCTAATTTCAATTGCAAAATGTCACACAAGTGACCAATCAAATGTCAGTAGAATCACCAAAATATACCCTTAAATTAAAAAAAAAACCACCAAATATGGAAATAAATATATTACACGGTAGGTATTAATGATTTATGCAAATTAGGCCCCTTAAATGGGTGGCACCTGGGGGGGGGGGTGGCTTAAGTTATTATCCTATCTTTGTCAGGCGTTGGACAAATATCTTAGGGCGAGCCAGCTCTTCCTGAACACTAACACATCGCCTAATAGCTAAATCAACTTAATACAAAAGATTTTCAATCTGGACGCTGGGACAGAACACTACACAGAAGCAGAGCTGGGATCATCAAAGCGCTTTTGGACCATCTTGTGATCACTCACAGTCTCCATCAGTCCCATGCACTAGTGAACTCATTGCCAGTTAATCTGTGTATATTTATTGCCCACCTGGAATGCACTTGCAGCACTCCCCTGGTTTTTCCTCGATGAGCTGGCCGTCAGGACACTCCAGATTGCAGGTCTGAATCAGATTCTCTGGGTCATCTATGTCTACAACTCTTTGGTCACATATGGCTGAGTGGCAGTCATCTATAATGACAGTTTCCCCATACTGCCATGAAGAAAATAACAATGAGAAAAGGTCAATTCTTCTTTCATAAAAGAACTTCAGGCAAACTCCATCAGCGCGGCTGGTATAAGGCTAGTACGTGATTGGCCGCAACAAATCTAACAACTTGATGATTATGTTCTTGCACTGTTAATCATATATGCAAGCAGCGCAATACATATATATGTAGTGCATTTTGGCCGTGAGATCCAGTCGCACACCACTATGCAAATGAAGACTCATTCATTCTGTTACATGGGGAGTTCTTCTCAATACGTCGGGGACATGTTTGCAGATCTGGCGACGTTTGAACGGCCAAATCCCTCAGCTTGGTCAATTGTGTACAGAAATATGATCATTGTGATATTGATTTGTTTGAGTCGTGTATATGCCCTATAATGAAATTTGTACACAACACAAAGTACAAACCTTTGAAGTAATAAGAATGACCTTCTGTAGCGGCCTAGAATGCATGCTGCAATCTGAACCAATCAGAGTACTTCCATAGACTTTGCTAGCGATTCAAAATACTCCCATATGTAGTGTACAAAATATAAAACGTTTTCGCCTAGTCGGTTAATGAATATCAATAGTCAGCATCATTTGGTCTGGGAACCAGGCAGTGATATTTTGCGTGCCGACTTGGTGAATAACCGACTTGGCACCAAGTCAACCTACAGGCAAGCTCTTATACATGTACATAGAGATATGCCACAATAAAAAGCCTGAAACACGACCAAAAAAACCCTGAAACTACCTTTACCCCCTTTCAACAATGTGTTTTCTGGATGTTTCAGACCAAATCCAGCACTTTTAATTTGCCACATTTAAAAAAAAAAAAAGGTGCCCGTGTCACACGCAAACATTCATGTTCTCACCAGCTTAAAAAATAAATAAAACTTTGATCCCTGAATGTAATTTTTGGGCAAATGGCTGTTCATAATTTGCAATTGATGATGCAAACCCTAATCAGCAAAGACTAAAAAAATAGGGTGCTATTTCCTTATCACAGGATTTGTTCAGCATTCCTTAAAGTGTGTGATCACTTAATTCCCCTGTGATCTCCATACAGAAACATGAACTGTTTTGGAGAGTTTAGGAGAGGATCAAGTATTTAACTGTATGCTTATTGTACCTCATAGAATGTTCCATTGAAGTAACAAGGACACCTTTCTCTGTCTATGCAGGTGTTGTTATACACCACTTGACCCTCAGGACAAATGCAGCCAGGAATACATGTGGTGCGATTACACTCAATGATGAGAGGTGGGCGTCCCCCGGGGTACTGGGCCATGGCCAGACAATCCACGTGACAGCTGCAGTCTTTATAGACAAGACCTATGGGGCACTGGTGGGCTACAACAGGAAACACAGACAGACAATATATTGAGGCATCTGTAAAAAGCATACAAGCACCTAGCATACAGGCATCTGTAATAAGCATAAAACGCAGCTGGGCAGGTGTAGAGTGAATTTTGGACCATAAAATACTGATTCACTGGTAGTACACTGCGCATGCATACATGAGGAATGTGAAAGTTTAACCAATGAAACGTAAGGCACCGGATTTCATGGGAGTCCAAATCTCATGTGACACTGGAAAAGTGTTTAAGACCAGCTAGCCATGTCTTTATCATCCGTTTAAGACCCGGCCACATGACAGGCTCTCGACCAATAGGAATGCGTAAACTGTCTTAGGTTTTTATGAATACAGTTAAAACACAAATTTAGGCAAATAAAACACTAATATAATTGCAGATGTCCTAAGCTTTTGTGTTAACATCTACAAGTTTTAAGAGGAAGAAGCGACTGTTCTTACATTCGGTTGTACTTGGAGCTGTAGTAGTAAGAGGAGTATTAGTTGGTGCCACTGTGGTGCTTGGCAATGGAGTTGTCAACTCGCATCCATATGGTACATCCTGGCAACACTCCAATCGGATGACATAATCAAAACATCTACTTGGAAACAAGTCGGCATGATCAGCATGAAAGCATCGGAGTCCATCAACTCGACTACAGTTCACCTGCTGGCCTGTACTGGAACTGGGTATATCCTTGTTGGACTTCATGGCACACCTGATGTCAGATGGTGTTTCACAGATATCATACAACTGTCTCAGGTCATCAATTAGTTCAAATTCATAGTTGAAGTCAACAACTTTTTTGCCATCAACTTCATCATCCAGCCAGTCTGTCCAAGTACACACCCTTTCGTACCTAGGTACACATGCTGAAGGAAAAATACAAATAAAGAATCAGGAAAAATACATATGAAGAATCTGGACAACTTTATGATATACGTAGCACTTAATTCATCCAAAGAACAAATGAAAATGTATGTTTTTTTATATCTATTTGTGTGATTTGAAATTTGTAGCCTCTCAATTACCTGTTGTATGAGGAACAGTTGTGACTTCAGTTGTTGTACGTCTTGTTGTTGTTAATTCAGGCGTCGTATTGATGACAGTAGTTGTTCTGCGCGTTGTTGTTGGTTGTGTGGTGGAAATCACTGTTGTCACTTCAGTTGTTGCTTTTGTTGTTGGCAGTGTGGTGGTTGACGCCTCTGTTGTTGACAACCTTGTTGTAGATGCCTCTGTTGTCAATAATTCAGTAGTTGATGCCTCTGTTGTTGATGCTTTTGTAGTCAAAGCCTCTGTTGTCGATGCCTCTGTTGTCAATGCCTCTGTTGTTGATGCCTTGGTGGTTGATGCCTTTGTAGTTGAAGCTTCCACTGTTGTTAGTATTGTTGTTGGTGCTTTTGTAGTTGTCTTCAGTGTTGTTATCGGAACTGTTGAAGGAAGAAGTGCCTTTATTCAGTATTTAATTAAAAAAATTTATTGTCAGCTATGGATGATTTGTATTCACTAATCCATTCTCTGAATACAAAACTACTACAGGGAAGGAGGATGTAACCAAAGATCGTATGTAAGGGAAGATGAAGTCCTCAAAGAAAAGTGAAACAGGAAGTACTTGCTCAGAGGCCATGATGGGGAAGGGCGCCCTACTAGTGGTAGGTACATGTAGGTAAAAAAAACCCAGATTTGCTCAATGTGCACTCAACGTGATTTAACTTAAATGCAAAGCCACTAAAGCCGTTAAAATTTTCTTTGATAAAATCATGCAGATATATACCACTTTAAAGCAGTTTATTCACTGAATAGCCCCACCAACGCATGTGATCATGGGGAAATGCCTAGAAGTGCCTTAAACTTTTTAGGACAGTTTACAGTATTATGCTAATGAGCTTACTGTAACAGAACATACAGGATTCAGAGATAGGGGCAGTATTATGAACAATTTTCCCCAAATATTTCCACTTTTCATCATGTGTATTATTGTTTATGACTTATTCTCAGGACTTTTTTGAATTAAAATGACGTATTTTTTCATTAGTAGTTAAATTAATTGAGTAAATTATTAATGACTTTATTTATATTTTTGAAAGATTTTTGTTTAAAGTGTTCAGCGGTTGTCATGTCCAAATGTACGGAAGCGTATATGACCATCCGAGCTACTGCGTTACTGAGATAAAATAACTTGGAACCATAGAGTTCCATCATAAAATATCTTTACAACTCGGAATGCAGCGATAGCCCATCATGAAAATGCTGAATTCCATGAAAGCCTAACATGAAAACGTGGAAATCCATGGTAGGTTATCGTGGAAATCCATGGTAGGTTATCGTGGAAATCCATGGTAGGTTATCGTGGAAACGTGGCATTCCGTGATAGGCTATCATGAATAAGTAGAATTCCGTCACATGCAATCGTGGAAACGCGGAATAATGTGATAGGGTATCTCAACAACATGGAATTCCGTGATGTTTTGATCGTGGCAAAGCAAAATGCCATGATATTGTTAGCCTATCAGAAAATTCCACATTTCCACGATAGTTCATCACGGAATTACATGCTTTCACGATAGCCTATCACCGAATTCTATGTTGCTATGATAGGCTATAACGATATTCCATGTTTCCGTGATAAGCTAGCACAGTATTCCACATTTCCACGATAGCCTATCACGGAATTCCACATTGCTGTGATAGGCTATCACAGTATTCCACGTTTCCACGATAGCCTTTCAGGGAATTCCATGTTTCCACGATATTTTATCTTAGTAACGCAGTAACGCGGATGGTCATATACGCTTCCGTACGCTTCCGTACAATTGAGATACATGTAAAGCACTTTTAAAATGAAATAAATTATTATTATACCGTCAAAAAATTGAAGGGGATCACATAAGCATTCTATTCATGTTATCAGCAATGAGTTCTACTTAGAAAATGGTTTTATTAAGGGAATAAATGTGTGCTCCAGAGGTTTTTATCACTCTGTTTAAGACCACTTAGAGTCTGGGTGCTGATAATTACCCGAGCCGGAGGCGAGGGTAATTATCAGCACCCAGACTCTAAGTGGTCTTAAACAGAGTGATAAATACCGACGGAGCACATATTTATTCCCATTCATAAATACCTTTTCGGTAAAAAAAAAATCAAATAATTTGTTCAAAACATCCCGATTTTGTTCAACAAATTCACTTTATGCTTTTGGAAACATCCCTCTTGCAAAATAATGGAGTGTTCAGCTGGCGAGTAAGATGTAAACAACCCTTTTATGGAGATTGAATCGCGCGTATCATGTTCTGCACGATGTCGCGCAGAACGCACCTGGCGCATTGCGTTTTGAATTTAGAACTATAAAATTCTGACTCCCTGGTAGTGTTGCGCATGCAGGATTGAGGATTGTGAACGTTCAACCAATGAAACGATAAGAGGCACTGGATTTTTAGGAGTCCACATTTTATTGTGACACTGGAAAAGTGTTTAAGACCAGCTAGCCATGTCTTTATCATCCGTTTAAGACCGGCCACGTGACGGGCTCTCGACCAATAAGAATGCTTAAACTGTCTTAGGTATTTATGAATCATAATTAATAATAAAAAAGGCACATTTTTTTTTTTTCAAGGCAAAAAAATTGAAGCTGGTTTTCATATTTGAACAACTTCAGGAAAGTTATGGACTTTTGAAGCAATCACCGCTAGAGTCCTTATTGGTTACATTGCCCTGTCCCCACCCCAAAAATAACTTACTTGTATTCCCTGATATTGATCAGCATTCCTAAATCTCAACATGTTACTATTTTCACTGACAGGTCTACTTTTATCCTCCTTTTATTGAATTATTCATTCATCTATTCCTCAGGCATGCAACTGGGAATTTAAAAAAAACGAGGAAATTTTAAACCACACAAGACTTTGTACAGTGTTTTTCAATTTGTATTGGCATTCATGAGAAGTAAAAATTGAGGAAATCAGCAGATCCGAGAAAAAAATTGCATGCCAGATTCCTTTATTGTTTAATTCATTTCTCGGTCTTTTGTCTTTTAAACTTTTTCTTTTCTTCATCAAAGAAAATCCTTGGTGCACCAACTCGCGTACACCATGGTCATACATACATGTACATCAAGGGGTGAACACATCTGCAATGTTTGATGCTTGCAAAGACAAACACTTAGTCGGAGGCTTCCATTTTCTTTATGGGGAGGAAAACCAGATTTGTAATGGCTGAATGGAAGCTGTCGCCAGATCCGGCAAGATGTATGCCCCTTGGGTTACATTTTTGCTAGAAACTGTGATTATGTCCATAAAAGACAGAGTCATGAAAAGGTTTATTACCTTTGTTACAACTGATAATGTAGTAACCAACGGATAACGGATCACCAACCGATAATGTATCACAAATTGACCGATATTGTATCACTAACCGATAATGTAGCAAAATTGACTGATAGTGTAGTAAAATTTGTATCCGATGTAACTACAAAATAACTGTATTCGATAATGTATCACCTCGGAACGGATACTGTTATCAACCGATAAAGTATCAAAAATCAACCAATTAAGTATCAGTATGGGGAAAAGGTGTACACAAATGTTTGTTTTATGTCCTATATATCCCGCCCCACTTTTTGACCGGGGAGGGGGTCTGGGCTATTGGATCACCCCCCCCCCCCCATTATTTCGTATTTAGAGAAAAAAGGCAGATTTTGAGGTATTGTTCAAAATTCCAACCACCGAAATGTATTAAATAGTATGAGGGAGAAAAAGTACACAAAGTTTGAAATCCGCTGATACATCTGTATCATGAACAGTGCCCCCAGCGTCATGTCGTCTCCAGCCCCCCCCCCCCCCCCCCCCCCCCCCCCGCCTCTTTTTGAATTTCATGGCCGGGATTTTTTTTTTTTTGGCTATCCCCCATCCCCCAGTCTCCTGAAAAATTCTGAAAATGTACACAGGTTTTTTTTTCTCCGGACATTTGGCCTCCGTAAAATAAAAAACTGGAGGGTACCATATTTCAATAGGCGGCGCTGTTCAAATTCAACGATTATTAACACTGGATTACAGAATGGTGTACAAATACCCCCTATCTAAGCTGCCTCCATCCGTATTTTGAACAGGCGGACATTATACCGGTATGTTTTTTGGGGGGAGGGTGTCACAGCGGGGGGTGTTGGCCTCAAGAGTGCGGCAGGCTCGTGACGTTTGGACTGCAAACTGTATGGGTTCAACAAACTGAAGTCAGTGGGTGGACAAATAACAAATGACGTCACAAGCTAACGGTGCCCCCCCCCCCCCCCTCTTAAAACAAAAGCCGGTGCATTTGTACGGTTCAGTTATATAGTGTACATGATTGTAGGATTATATCACCTTTTCCCCATACTGATACTTAATCGGTTGATTTTTGATACATTATCGGTTGATACAGTATCCGTTCCGGGGTGATACATTATCAAATACAGTTATTTTGTAGTTACATTATCCGTCGACACAGGATACATTATTGGATACAAAGTTTACTACATTATCGGTTAGTGATACAATATCGGTCAATTTGTGATACATTATCGGTTGGTGATACGTTATCCATTGGTTACTACATTATCAGTTGTAACAACCTTGTTCTGAAAGCCTTTTCTCGATAAACATGTGTCAAGACAATTAATGCACAGTTTCTTTCTCTCAAAAATGTTTGTCCCTTCATTGTTACCATCATACCATTAAATCCTTAGAGTATCATTTTTCATGATGAATATTGGACAGGGAAAAGGCCAAATAGAAATTGAGACACGGGTATTCTTCTCTCTATATCTCGCTGTGATGGAATCTAGTGTTTTATTGAAGAGCACAAAAGCAAAGCACACTTTACTTGCTCAATGACAATGCGTTGCTGTTGCTGCCAAAAATTGGTACTTAATTTGTTCTATACCATTAAATTCTCAAAAACATAGATCTATAATTACAAAAATAGATGCAACAAAACACGTGGGCCGTTCATATGACCCTTTGTGCAGGTACCGGTACGTAATATTCACAATGTACACGTGCATTCTGTGAAGGTCTCACTGTGTGATTGCCAGTACAGGCAGAATTACACGTTTACTATTGTGACTATAGCTCTTGAATTACAGCCCTGAGTGCAGTTGCAGTGCAATAGTGTGACAATGTGGAACACTAGTCGCCGAATAATGAATATTCAACTATGTGAAAATCGATGGTCATGACAACCAATGCCTTTTGGCATTGGTGACTAGCCGTATGTGCCAAAATCATCATGTAAGTAAGGTCAAAGCCCAAACCCGGGTCTCAATCTATAAGATTCTTGTACATGCATATGATACAAAAATGAGGCCATACAAATTAGTTCATTCGGATGAGCCATTAACTAGATAGGTTAACTGGCTGGTACATGTTGGTGATTTTCTCAGTGCACAGAACCTTTCAGA